AGCATGTATTGAACTATGATAAATATATTGGACATTATTTATTATATAGGACCAGGACAGTAGGCTTGCCCAACAAGCATATCTTGCTGGCAAAAAAATAAATCTCCCCAAATCCCACACAAACAAACCAAAACCTCCACCAATCCCTGCACCTGTATACTCACAATTTCTCAGAAATTGCAGAGGAGCCAAGGTTTTACTCTCCCCACCCTCCCCACACTCCACCCTGCAGCAGTCATTAACCCTTAAGAGCCCTAGGTTGAGGTCCCAGCAGTCTGGGTGCTTTGGGTAAACAGGAGACGTGGGAGCCTCTCTGGATGTCACCCTTTCCGGTTACCCATCAGGGTCAGACTGTGCTCCTCCCTTGCTCTTACTTGCTTGTGCCTTCTGGGTCCCTGCCTTCTAGCCCTGGTGCTTTTGCTCACATGACACCTTCCAGTCCTGCTGTTTATCATTCCTTCTCTCTGCTGGCTGAGCCCTTGCTTTTGGCACTATTTCTGTCCCCCTGCCTCTCTGCATAAATGCCAAGATAGATTCCCAGAGAATATTGTCCTCCTGGGACAATCTGGCTGGCACTGCCCGCCTGGCTCTGATTGGTTTTGACTATGTGTTATTGCCATGGGAAGGAAACTGTGCTCTAATTCTAGCTTGTCACGGTCACTTAGGGGAGAAAAGAAACCTATTTATTAAGCTGTAGGATTTCCTCTCCCCACCCCCTTTATACCAGGCTGCCTCCAGTTGCACAGACAGCTCATGGCAGAATAAGGTCTGGAGCTTGGCAGCTTGGTGGGAGAAAGACCTTCCCAGACACAAGCCCCTGGGAATAAAGACGGGTGGATTCTGGGTTCTCATGTCGCCAGGTCTCCCGATGAACCACTTTCCTGTTCCGGACTTGAGGTCCCTGCGGGGTTGGAGATCATCATGCTTTTCATGCCCCTTTACTCTGAACTTGAGAAAGCAGCTTACCCTGCCTCTTTGTCCCTTCTTGGTCCTTATCCCCCTGCTTCACTTGGAACTCAAAAGGGGCAGTGAAGACCCATCAGCAACCACTTTTGAAGGGTTATCTCAGCAGGATAGTGGCTCCCCTGTTCCCAAAACAGAGGAGGAAAAGCGGCCTGCACTACAGTGCGGTCACCAGCACTGGTCTAACCTTGGCTATCACTTGACCTATTTGGCGCCTAGGCCTGCTGGGGTTTATGACAATTTTTTTTTTTTAAACACAATTCCAACCTCACCATCGTTACTACAAAGAGAATTTTTTCTCAGTTGGTCATGGGCCCTGGCATATAGGCTTCGCCTGACCCTAGACAACATTCTGGAACCTTGAGCAACCTCTGCTGTGGGCTCTGAGGAGCGCAGACAGGCCCTGACTCTTGGGTGAGAGCAAAGCCGACATCTCAAAAGGAAATTGCAGCCACGCAGTCTGCTGGCGCTGCTATTTTTGACATGCTTGCTGTTCTCTCAGGGCTTGACAACCGCTGTCTCCAGGAGACAGACAAACCCGCTCTTGGCAGCGGAGACACTGCTTTGCTAAAGAACATGAGACAGTCCTGCGGCGGGGAGGGGCGGGGGACGTGCCATCCCTTCCCTCGTCCCCGGGAAGCCCGGCACCTGGCCGGCGGGCCGCAGGTCTGGGGTTGCAGGCTTTACCCTCGCCCCGGGAATCGGACTCTGCTTTGTGAGCTCCTCGGGGGAGCAGTCCCACAAGAAGAGGAACAGCACATTCACTTAACGAAGCGGTTTCAAGCACGAGCAGTGCTTTCGGATGTCATGTAGGTAACAAAGAGGTTAAGTGCATGGATGCCGGGGCCAGATTGTCGTGTTCAGGCCCTTCCTCTGCTGCTGACACTGAGCATGTGATGAAACTGCTCTGCGCCTCAGTTTCCTTTCCATCAGTCAGACGGGGGATAAGAGTACCAGTCTCATACAGATGTTGTGGGGATTCAATGAGTTAATGTATGTACAACGTTTAAAGTAGTAAGCGCTATGTAAATGTTGGCTGTTATTGTTATCCTACAACAACGAAAATGAGGTAGGTAGGCGAGGCGTTTTGTTTTCCTATTCGGCAGGTAAGAGAATTGAGGCTCAGAGGGCTGGTGACCTGTTCAAGGTCACACAGTATGTTTGGTGCACCATCCTCAGGGGAGGTGGAACAGGACGGAATGGGTGAGGGTCTTACCGGTACTGAGCATGAGCAGAGAATGAAGCCGCGGCTCCTCAATGTGCACATAGCCCTTTATTTACATGCCAGTTCATCTCTGATGGAAAAGCAGCAGGTGTCCTGTGCTTTTTTCCCCTAAGGGGCTCTGAAAGCACAAGGAAGGTCTCATATGTGACATGCATAGGGAGCATCTTTCTGTGAGCCCTTGGCTACACTGTCACACTGTCACTGTTCTCCTCCCTCACGTTTTACCATTCTCAGGATTGGCTCCCCACTAGCACCTTCCTCACACACTTCCTTGCATCTTTGCTTGGGACAAACAGGGTCCTACAGTCAGCCTGACGGACAGCACCCATGAGCCTGACCTGGCCCAGAGATTTTTGTGCCCTGTTCCAGTGGCTTTCAAACTCCCACCACCCTGGTCCTCATCC